TGAACATGCAGCTGGCCCTCAAAGCAGACTGTTACAAACAAGGAGGAACGAAAAACCGAGCTGTAGTTTGAAGTTCAGTAGATGCCAGAATCAGGAACCCCAGTGCCTCATCTCTCTCGTGGCGCCTGTCACACTCTGGTGACCTGTGGATCTCCCCCTCCTTCCCTTTACCCATAAGAACATAAGAGATGCCAATGTTGGATCAGGCCAAAGGCCCATCCAGTCCAACACTCTGTATCACACAGTGGCCAGAAATACCAGTGCCATCAGGAGGTCCACCAGTGGGGCCAGGACATTAGAAGCCCTCCCACTATTGACCCCCCCCAAGCACCAAGATGACAGAGCATCACTTGCCCCAGAGTCCCTATCTATACCTTGTGGCTAATAGCCACTGATGGACCTCTGCTCCATATGCTTATCTAATTCCCTTTTGAAGCCGTCCATGCTTGTAGCCGCCACCACTTCCTGTGGCAGTGTTAATCACTCTTTGGGTGAAGAAGTACTTCCTTTTATCCGTTCTAACCCGACCGCTCAGCAATTTCATGGAGTGCCCACGAGTTCTTGTATTGTGAGAAAGGGAGATTGCTGAATACCCAATTGCTGAAGAGAAAGCTGGGAAGAGTGGCTTTGCACTTGCCTCCATCAAAGGCCAGGTTCTGCAAGTGTGAAGTTATCTGCTTCCTCTTAACCCTTCTCTGCTGCACCAGTAGAGGCCCTACTGACCCCTTCTCTCAGTGGCGCACCAGATACGCCGGTGTTGCTGTTGATTCTGTCGATCCCCCCGGGCATCGTTGGAAGGAAGAGAACTGGAGCAGGTCACCCTGTGGTGCTCCTCACCCCACTTCTGTTGTTTTCCCATAATCACTCCCACTGGCAACAAGCCCCTCGAAAATCATGGCTGAGATAAAGGTCTGAGTTTGAGCCTGTGAGAGGGGGCCTCCGATCCCCCTGGGACTCTCTGCCAGGCCTTCAGTAAGCCTTTTGTCTCTCTGCATTACGGGGAAGGCAACCGACTGGATTGCTGCAGGGTGGTTGTGAGGAAGAACAGAAGCATAAAATGCAACCTGCCCTGAGCCTTTGGTTACACCTGCATGGCAACACAGGCAAAAAGGGTTCCAGCCCCTTGCCAAGGTCACTCCTGCCCCCAGGCTCATGTTGTGCAGAAAACATAGGATCTCAGACCCTGCATAATGCAAGCATGAGTGGTGGTGGTGGGGATATTCTGGAGCTAGCAGAAAGAGGTGTGTTTAGCTGTACCTTTACCTGCTGCTTTCCCCCAGCAGCCACCACCTCCCCCCCAAAAAAAACCCCTGGGAAATGTCTGATCAAGAGGAAAACTGCCTGCAGGGAGAGTTGGGCAAAGTTGGGGGGTGGGAAGAAATGCGTGGGGAAACTGCTAAAAACATTTTCCTTCCTGCCTGTGAAGCTCTTTCTTCCCCATCCGTTATTTGGCAAATGTGAGTCCAGGGCTTCCTGTTTTGTTGGCGTAGCGTGTAGTAAGTCCGCCCATAAGGTGGGTTATGGGTATGAAAAAGTCCTTTCTCTGTGCCGTCTCCTGACCTCTGCTGCTGATTTCCCAGGTTTATGTTCTGAAGAGGCCGTTTGTAGACGAATTCTTGAGGCGGATGGGGGAGCTGTTTGAGTGCGTGTTGTTCACGGCCAGTCTGGCTAAGGTGAGCGGAATGAGGAGGGCCTTGTTTGAGTTTGGGGGGCTGTCTTAGTGCTTCAAGGCAAACTAAGGCTCAGGTGTGAACCCTCACATTGTTAAGGTGGACGTTGTATATTTTTAGGCCCAAAATGAGTTTGGGGTCTTGCTAATTTCCCCCCCCAAGAGCTGTGTGTACTTTTTAAAAAATGCACATTCTACACCAAGGAATGGTAAATCCCGTTAACCCGAATAAACGATTCAAATTTGGCACGTTTGCGTATGTTTGCTTATCTTTTTCCACTGTCTATTTGGTGCTTCTGTCCACGGTGAGAGGCAGGAACCCCTGCAGACCTCTGAAATCCTCAACAGCTGACCACTACAAGCCCTGCTGAGCCCTTCTCTGGCTTCTGGAATGGTGTTGGACATCGTTAATGTGTTTAAACTTTATCTCCAAAGCCTTGAGGGCTAGATACATTAAAAAAAAAAATCTGGATTCTGCACTTGTATGATCTGCACTTACTAGTGGGTTCCATTCACTGGGGATTATTCACCTGCCCTTTGTTTGGGATTTTTGCTCCTGTGCTGAACACCAGTGTGATCTGCTCCATTCTCACCCTCTCTGACCAGTATGCTGATCCGGTAACTGACCTGCTGGACAAGTGTGGAGTCTTCCGAACCCGTCTCTTCCGGGAGTCGTGTGTGTTTCACCAGGGCTGTTACGTTAAGGATCTCAGCCGGCTGGGTCGTGACCTACGCAAGACTCTAATCCTGGACAACTCCCCTGCCTCCTATATCTTCCATCCGGAGAACGCTGTGAGTATTCCTGGGGTCTCCTAGTATCAGTGGTCTTTAACCTATGGATCAGGTGCATTGTGTGAGCCCCTGGTCTTGCTGTTTTTTGGAAGGCCCTGCTGCCAAGGTGCATGTTTCGAGAGCACGGGCCCCATGCCTCCTTCCTCTCCTTGCATGCAACAAAACAGCAAGGCAAAGTCAAGAAGTTGTGGAGAGTGTTCCTCTGTGGCACTGACCCTGGACTTGTTCTTCCCTATGGCACACCTCCTGGTGCTTGGCTTACGTCGCCAGTCACTGGCTCTTCTGGTCAGCTGCCCACCATCCTGGCCTGGCTTTGAGGCTGGTGAGGTCACAGTTCTGGTTCCTCCTCTTCCAGTCACATGACTCTGATGTCATGTGATTGTGATGTCCCGTGTTTGTAACTCAGTGGGCCTGGAAAGCTCCAAAACCTCTGCAATAAAGGGTTGTTGGGGTGGGCCTGGAGATGCACACAACAGCAGCTAAGGCTGCCTGTTGATTTAGCCTTGAACTTGAATACTTTTGATGTTAAAAAGTCCGTTATTTGCAGGATATGAATTCCACCCCTCTCCCACTTTTATAGCTGTTTCAGACAAATGCCCAGTTGCTACTATATTTACCCCAAAAGAAGACTACCTAGATATGAGTCGAGGAGCAGCTTAGAGACCAGCAAACTAGGGCTTATTCCACAAATGCATAGAAATCCTGCTAGGGCTTATTTTGGGGGTAGGGCTTATTTTGGGGGAAACAGGGTATATCTACCCCAAAAGAAGATATGAGTCGAGGAGCAGCTTAGAGACTTGAGCTTTCAAGAGTCAGAGCTCCCCTCGTCAGATGGCTGACGGATCTGACAAAGGCAGCTTTGACTCTCAACAGCCTATTCCCTGGCCCTGACCTGGGTAGCCCCAGGCAAGCCTGCTCTCTCGCCAGATCTCAGAAGCTAAGCAGGGCTGACCCTGGCAAGTACTTGGATGGGAGACTGCCAAAGAATATCAGGGCCGGGAAGCCAGAGGCAGGCTATCAAGCCACTTCTCTGAACATCCTCCAATCCCCAGTAGGAGTCCCCACAGGTCACTACGACTTCCAGGCACGGGCACACAAACGCACAAATGCAAAAAACCCCCCAACTATCGACCTATACCCTGAACATTTTGTTGGTCTCTAAGGTGCTAGCTCTTCTACCACAGACCAACACAACTACCAGCAGCTAATTTCTTTTCTGTCAAGAAAAAGTGGGCTGTTTTAAAGATTATGTAGAGAATAGTTGGGATGTTAGAAATAATTTACTATGCTTTGACAGTTATTAAGAACAGAATCTTAACTAAAAATAGATAGAATTTTATATAAGAAGTTGCCTAGAAAGTAGATAAGAAGTGGAATAAGTTGAAAATGAACAAGGGATGAAATATGAAGTTATTTTCCCCCTTTTATTTTGTTGGTCTCTAAGGTGCTAGCTCTTCTACCACAGACCAACACAACTACCAGCAGCTAATTCCTTTTCTTGTCAAGAAAAAGCGGGCTGTCTTGTAACTTTGGCTCACACACGAGTATGTACAGTGGTTTTTTGTTGCTGTTTTTAACCTTTTTTGTATATAGCATTTAAGGGGGATCATCTTACATTTGCATACAGTGTACAAATATGTCCAATAATAAACTTGTGTGTGACATTTCTAAGGGTGGGGTTCATCTTCCTGTTGGGGTCCACACAGTATCTGCTTGCTGTCTGCCTGACAGGGCCCCTCAGGTGCTGCTGGCTGACCCCCTCCTCTCCCTCCAACTCCCTTCCAGGTGCCGGTGCAGTCCTGGTTCGACGACATGGCGGACACAGAGCTGCTGAACCTCATCCCAATTTTTGAGGAGCTGAGCGCTGCAGAGGACGTGTATACCAGTCTTGGCCAGCTGAGGGCGCCCTAAGGCCCTCCCAGCCCTATAACCCACAGGGGAACTTTTATTTTCACTCAGTGCCTTCAGTAGTGGCCTGGAGGGTTGGGGGGGAAACCATGGTGGTGTTTCTCCCCTTGACCCCACCGAAAGGCGGATGCAAGGACTTTGGAGGCAATAACCTGCCTGGCCACCCAACGGGGCAGGGCTGGTGCGTTTTGCAACCCAGGGTATTGCTTAGACCGGTGAACCTCTGGCCTCTTCCATTCAACAGCACGGACATACAGGACAGACACCCCATCCCCCGCTGGCTCTCGTATCTATGCACTGTGAGGAGACAGGGAGCGGTTGAGAGGCTGTGCCATTCCCCCCCTGCGCTACGATTCTTTCCCTCACCCTTTCATTGGCTGCAGGATTTTTAGTTAGCGTGTGGCTCATCTCTCTCCCCCCCCCCCAGCAAGGCCAAACAGTTTGGCTGAAGATTTTGAAAGCTCTCTGCGTCCTGCTTCCCTCGAGAGCATGGCCTAAACCCAGGCCTTGAGATGCAGCCGTGCGAGGCCTAGCGTTTCTACCTTTTCCTCACCTCATGGTCAAGGCAAGGCACCTATCCAAGCTCTCCAGTGCTTCTGCCCCAGCCAGGTGACCTCGTGTGGTATCCTTTCCTTCAAGCGGCAATCTCTTGAAGGAATAGGAGGGGGGAGGGGCTTTCCTTGTTTTCGATGCCTGCCTACAGGCGAGGAAGCTTCTTCCAGCTCCAGCCATTTTTGTGAGGTCTCCGGTTTCACCTCCCTTCAGAATAGCCGAGCTCACCCTTTCAGGGCCCTGGGCCCTTAGTTATGCCATGGACATTGGGGAAACCCAGTGAGTTTCAATACATTACCGTGTACTTCAGCTATGCCTCCCGGTTGAAGAGCAGTGTCCTCGTCCATCCCCCTGAAGCACTTCCTACATCAAAACAGTGTTGCAGCATGAAGTCACAGTATCAGTCTGGGCTGCTGACTTACCGGCTAGCACCCCACTCCCCCAGCTACACTCCATCTTAGTTTCAGAGTTGCATTACAGGTATTCCCAGGTTCCTGCCCTAGCATTACTTCTTGGGGAGGCCAAGCAATAGCTCTGCCTTAAAAACTGCTCCTGATTTGCAAGCCACCTCACTGTCATGGGACTGTCGCAGTGCTGTCAGTTCTTCCATTCTTGTTTGGTGCGGGCGCTGGCCCACGACACAGGACGGGACTTTTGCCCACCGCCAGATGAGACTTTTGCCCACCGCCGGCTTCCCTGCCGCTCGCTTACCTCCTCCGATGGGGCCCGGGCACACTGGACGTGGCAACCTGCTTCCCTCTCAGGACTCCTTCCAGGCTCCATCGCCGTCACTTGAAAGCCCAGCCCTTCGGGTGGCCTCAGGGAATAATGGACTCGTGTCTTAGAAGAAGCGGCGTGTGTGTGTGTGTGTCGTTTCTGGCGTGCACGCAGTCCGGTCCACACCGATCGCCTTGAGTCTCTGGGGGAGCCAGAGGAGATGTTGCGCCTCACTTGGTGTTTCTGTGCCCTGAAGCTGCTGACAGCGAGTGAACGTGCCTCATAATCTTTTGGGGAGTTGGGGTCAGGCCTTATTTGAGGACTAGGCCCCAGAGACCTGGCTGGGCCGGCCTGCGTGCATCTTTCATCTTCTGCTGCATTTTCTTGGGAGACCAAATGCAGACCGGGGCGGGGGGTGGTGGTGGTTAGTTGTGATTGTTGTTCATGTTTCTATGCCAGAGGGGGCTTTCCTCAGCCACCTTTTCTTCTCCTTCCCACCTGTGCTGGAGTATGGTACGGTCTGCCTTTCCTGGTCTCACCCTGCTGTGTTGTGAGCAAACGCTTTCAAAGTGCCATGTTGGGGGGGGGGGATAACGGGACAATGAAATACGACACTAAGCCAGCTTGCTGTTCTTTCCCCCTTTCCCTCCCGTAAGCAATACGCTGCAAGTGACTCCGTGTTTAGCATTTGGGGCTGGGGAGGGAGTCAGACACGGCACTTCAGGGCTGCTCCCTCCCCACCCACCCTCTATCTTCTCTGGTGCTGCTGCCGACTCACTGGCTCGGCTCCCGTGGGGAGGGGAGCTGTTGATCACCTGGATACGGGATGCTCTAGAGGACCAAACATTTAAGATTTGTTATCGGTCAGGTGAGCGGAGTAGCTCCTAGCCTGGCCAAAGTGCTGCTTGAAGTTTCATCGTAGTTTTAAGTGTTCTGATTGGCTACTAGTCGACTTCTGACTCTTGGGTGTGCCCGTGCAACATGTGTGTGTGTGGGGGGCTAGGCCTCAACCGATGTATGAGAGGAATCTGCTGCCACCACCTGCTTCCTCCACGACCCCACACCTGACCCTCTCTTTGCCTCAGTTGCTGGGGTAGGGGCGGGTGTCTCCAACTCTGCCAAGCAGGGGGGGGGGAGTTTCTTTTTCTAGTTCAATAAGCTGCTGTTTCTCTCCAAGGCAGAAACAGACCTTTGAACTGTTGCAAGGTTAATGAGTGCAGGGAAGAACAAAAGCCTGTTGTGTCTCCTTCCTGGTTGGGCCCGTGGTCACAACTGAGGCGTTGCCTTCTGTCAGCTGAAGAGAAATTGCCTCTTTTCTGCCCCTCCTGTCTGCTGGCAGCGGTATGGACCTCTTGGCCAATGTAAAACTGGCTGAGAGGTCCTTCACCGGGCTAAGCGTCAAGGCTTCCATCTGAGGGGAAAGGTTACATGAGCACATGACACACTCCCAACGGTGTTGTTCACTCCTAGATAGCCAGAAAATGTCGTACCCTTGGCAGGCCCACCCCAGCATCAAATATTGGGCTAATGTTAGACTGAGGTAACCAGGGTGTCCCCTCTCCCCTTCTCAAAATAACATGGTGAATCCATGCCACTAATGTGTGGCGGGATCTTCATGAAACATTTTTTTAAAAAAAAAATCTGAAGGAGTTCAACGCAAGATTAACTTGGATACCGCCACTGTTTTGTATAAACTTGTTCTGTCAAAAATATGGCGGGGAAGAGTTCGTCAGGTGGTGGATCTCTTCAGATGATCCCACTGGGGGAGGGGGAGACTTGGTTGGGTGAATTCACTCTTAAGAGGCCACTTGTCTCCTTATCCTAACACATATCCACACACACACACACATATTCTGACGGTCAGGCTGACAAAGCCCTTGTTTAATAGCCATAAATGATGAACCTGGGTCCAATTGCCAATGTTGGGATTGTGCCTTGATCAAACCCAGCTGGTGGGGTTTAGGGTAAAACAGCCAGCCGAGAGGCGACCCTAGCACTTATCAAGGGAGGTGCCTTTTGTAGGGGGGTACCTGACTCACCCTCCACCAAAGCTACCCCGTTTGCTGTCTGTTCCTCTTGCTTCCTGGTAAGGTTTGGTGCCCCGTTTTATACTGAGAGTTGTGGCTGGTGGTGTTTTTAGTAACCAAGCCCTGGGCTTCCTCTTCTCTCCCCATCTCACAGAAGCGTAAAGACATCGGTTGCCTTTGTGACATGTTCTCACTTGCTGGGGTTTTTTGTTGTTGTTGTTTTTTTTAAAAAAAACTATTTTAATTGAAAAAAAACCCCTCAAAACTTGAAGCCGGTGCTGCCGCCGTTTCGATCTTTTTCTATTTTTGGAATCTTTGTATTAACTGCAATTTAAAAAATAAAATAAAAAAGAGTAAATGTACGTCCAGTTGTTTTCCTTAAACCTTGGAGAAAGTCAGGGTCTGTTTTGTGTGGCTGGAGGCAACACGCAACGGCTTTAGCTACGGAGTGAGTAACCTGTGAACCACTTTAATTTTGCCTCACTGCCAATGGGTAAATAAATACTCTCCTCAAATCCTGTGTGCAAGACTGGGTCATACGGGATCACCATGACTTCAGGTGAAGACTTTTGTGAGAGAGGAATCTGCTGCTGCGAATCTAACACCGCAAAAGGAACGATGCTCAGGGTTGCCTCCCGCAAACGTGTCTCAGGACTCCGTTCACACTTTCAGCTGCCTGTTACCAAGCAATGAAAAATCAAGGCGTACTTGCATGTGAGAATCAGCTATGAGTGGGGTGCCCGGTATGGGTGCTATGGGGGCATTTGCTGGGGATGGGAGGGAACTCAGTGGATATGGGATACTACAGGGTTTGCCTTCTGAAGAAGCCATTTCTGTAGTCTGGAGATGAGTTGCTATTCTGTGGGATCTCCAGGCCCCACTTGAAGACTGGTAACCCTAGCTCTAATGATAGCATCTGGAGAAAATTATTTGTACCTAAATTTCATTTCATTAATTTCATAGGACCTGAGCCCATGATAAAAGTGCCTAGGTTCTGTTGATTTCAATAAGAATTAGAACACACAACTTCTGGATGCAGAGACATATGCTGCTGTTGAGGTGGGTGGGAACCATGATTACTTCAGAATGAGGAAAGAGGGATGCCAAGATCAGTGGTGTTTGATCTTTGACAGTTCATACATGCAAGCTGCGTGGTAACACTGTGGCTTTGTTCCTGAAACCAGAATGCTAATTGAAAAAGCTCTAGAAGGGGTATTGGGAACACTGGTTCTGATAGGGATGTGTCCACAGTATCGCTGTTTCTGATGGATGAATAACACGTGAAGGGGCAGCTGCCAACTGATTGACTCTGTTATGCTCTCACACTAGTGCATCTCTGGGCCGGCTGTCTTCCACATCGAGGCTTCCTCTTGAGAGTTGCTACCACCTTCTCTGTCAGCACCTTATTTCCTACTGAGTCCCTGTTCCTCAGCTATGTAGGACTTTTAAGTATCTTCAACACAGTTGGAAGGTGGCCATCCTACCTGTAGCAGTGTGGTCCTCCATTGCTTCTGGCCCAGCTGTATTTTCTCCCACTTGGGCCTATTGTGCAGGAGAGCCAGTGTCCACTTTCCTCATCCACATTTTATTAAGAAATTACACCCTGAACAAAGAGTGTGATAGTGAAACAGCATGACAGGAAGTATTACTGTACAGCATTCATTAAATTATAAGCATGTATGCTCCTGAAAATATAGCAGCTGCATGCAGTGGTGGTGTGTCATGTAGACTCCCTGGCAACGAACAAGACGGCAGAGCCGGCTGGTAAGTCACTGTTAAGGATATGAAACTTCTGGACATGATGATCAGTCAGCATTCAACATGGTCTGGGACATGTGATTACAGCCCTACAGGGGTTGTAAGTTGCTGAACAGGACCTTGAAGATATAAAACTGATTGTATACACAAATGAATGAGAACACTAATTGCATATATCATCTCTGAAGAAGACAGTCAAAACAAAGTTCGTATCCGGAATCTTCGTGGAACCTGAACCTTATTGCATTTTTTGCACTGTACTCGGTAGTGAGGCTTATTGTATTATTGTAAGCAATACGACAAAGTAAATACATTACATCATTATTTCTATAGCATCTGCTGTTCACAATTTTTGCTGCGATTGTATAATGTATTTAAAAGACAGCAGATGAGCAGCAGTTTTTGAGGGAGCCGTGCTGGTGGGGTGAGTGAGGCAAATGCTGGCTCCAGGATTTCAGCGGGCCTCAGCCAAGCTTGGGGTGCCAGCTCTGGGTTGGGAAATTTCTCGAGATTTGGGGGTGGAGCCTGGGGTGGGTGGGGTTTGGGGAGGGATCTCAGTAGAATTCCATGGAGTCCATCCTTCAAAGCAGCCATTTTCTCTGGGGGAACCCATCTTGGTCATGTGGAGATCAACTGTAGTAGTGGGAGATCTCCAGGTGCCACCTGGAGGTTGGCAGCCATAGCCAAGGCACCCTTCAGGGGTCCCCTGAACAAGCATGACAAGAGGCATGCTAATTGAACTTCTACAGTGTGAAGGGAGAATGAGGTAGCAGGCCTTATGTCCTCATTGAGGCTGCGGTCAAAGTAGGGTTGCCAAGTCCATCTTCCACCTCCAGCGGGGGACTTTGGGGGCGTTCCTGGAGGGGGCGGGGCATCCCCGCGCGCCGGATCTCCAGAAACGGCAGTTCCTTGCTCTTAAAGGAGCCGGCGTTTCCCTTTTAAATGCAGGAGCTGGTGTTTCCCCTTTAAGAGCAGCCGTGTTTCCCTTTTAAGAGCATGCAAGCCTGATCTCAAGCAGAGATTGGGTTTGGGAGGAAACACGGGTTCCACACACTTAAAGGGAGAGAGGGGGCTGGCTGTGAGTGTTGGGGATGGGGCTTCCCCTGCCGGCCATCTGGCCGGCGGCTGGTAGAACCCACCCAAAAAACGAGGGACCCCTGGCAAACCAGGGGGGTTGGCAACCCTAGGTCAAAGCTGGTCTTTGGTGTCACTCTGCGGACCAGGCCCAACACACATCTGAAAGCCACAAGGCCGGGCTTGATGGATAACGGATCTATGGAACCTTGTGCCATGTTACCAAAAGCATACCAAAATAAAACAAGTCCAGTGCAGTGTTCCCTCTTAGCTAAGTTACTAAGCTAACACATTTTTGCCTTAGCCCAGGAAGGATGGCTCCAGGGCAAACTAATTTATGCAGCAGTAAAATCGCTCGCTCACAACTTTAATGCCAGTACCTCCCAAAGTAGAATTTTTGCTCACAAGACTCCACAACTTAGAGGGAACATTGGACTCCAGTGGTACCTGTAACAACATTTATTAGTTTATTTATTTGTTTCTTTATTCCAGTGATATCCCACCTTTCATCCCAACAGGGACCCAAAGCAGCTTACCTCGTTCTCTTTGCCTTGATTTTATCCTCACAACAACCCTTTGAGGAAGGCTGCTCTGAGACTGGGTGACTGGCCCCAGATCACCCAGCAAGTTTCCATGGCAGAGTGTAAAATCACACCTGGGTCTCCCAGCTCCTAGTCTGACACACTCTGAACTCTTTGCACTAGATGTCTACACTACGTTTACTCTGTAAGGTGCTGCTGGACTTCTGTTTTGCTGCAGCCTTTCTCTTCATGTAACTGTGCCAATACATTACAGATAGAAGCTGAGGCGTCTTGGAACGCAGCCATTGCCTCGATCTAACGTTTTTGTCTCTGGGTTCCGAGCAAACCACTCTAATGTGGTTACATTCCCATCTCCTCCTGCCCCCCCCCTACCCCCTGTGGCACTGAATTATTGATGGAGTGCTGCACTTTAGAAAAATTGATGGGAAATGGGTGTGGTGGTGGTGGACAGTGAGAGAAGGCAGCCTTGGCAGTCTCTCTGTGGCGTTTCACATTTCAGGGCTCCCCCCGCCCCCCAAGAAACAAATAGATGCTTTCCCTAAACTAATCCAAGCTATCAGGCCAGGCTGGCACTGATTGGCCCAGGCAGCAGATATGTAGACAAGATGCAAAGGCAGGCAAATCATAAAACGGAGAGGGTCTGGATGCAAGAAGTTCTGGGCTGACGTGTGCCTTCGAACTGGGGGGTGGGGGGGAGGTCTGTTTGCCTTTTTACGGGACAGATTGTGTTCCTCCACCCGGAGCTAGTGGGCAGGAAGCAGCAGCAAATCCAGGTAAGTGTGTCCTTCACAGGATGGGAAATGAGAAGTGGATTGGGTATAGAAAGGGTATGTGGGGGACCTATCGAGACAACTCTGTTGAATGCAAGGATGGATGAGAAATAAGGTTGCCGGGGGATGGGGGCATAAGGTTGCCAGATCCAGGTTGGGAAACTCCTGGAGAGTTGGGGGTGGAGCCCAGGGAGGACAGGGACCTCAGTGGGGCACAATACCACAGAGTCCACCCTCCAAAGCAGCCATTTTCTCCAGGGGAACTGATCTCTGTAGTCTGGAGATGAGCTGTAGTTCCAAGGGATCCCCAGGTCCGACCTGGAGGCTGGCATCCCTAATTGAGCAATGACCAGTTGGAGCATTCTGTGTTCTAGAATAACCCAAATTTCTTCAATCAGAAAGGGAAACAGAGGGGAAGGTCTCTTTAACATTCCACTATTTATTTTCCAAAATGAGTTTGCCAGGGCTCAGTTTTGCTTGGAATGGGAATCGTAAGGTACCTAATTTGTACTCCACCTTTCAGTTTGGTGTAGGGGTTAAGTGCGCGGACTCTAATCTGGGAGAACCAGGTTTGATTCCCCACTTCTCCACTTGCACCTGGCTGGATGACCTTGGGCAAGCCGTAGTTCTGATAAAGAGCTGTTCTTGAAAAAGAGCAGTTTCTGTCAAGAGCTCTCGCAGCCCCACCTACCTCACAGGGTGTCTATTGTGGGGAGGGGAAGGGAAAGGAGTTTGTAAACCACTCTGAGACACCTCCGGGTAGTGAAGGGTGGGGTATAAATCCAATCTCTTCTTCTCTTCTTCTTCTTCTTCATCCTTGGCACGCAAAATTGCATACATGTGGCACGGTCGCATTGTATCTTAACAACAATCCTGCAGGGTGGGTTAGGCTTAGATAAGAGTGGCACAACAAAAACAACCTGCAGCTTGTTTACCTAGCTGAACTGTAATTTTATCTTTCAGGATGGGTTTCCTAGAGATGTATATGGGTGGGGTGGGGCTACCCAGTGGCAAGCA